CACTTAGTTCCAACTTTGGATCCCCACCCTATCTTGCAATGACCATCAGGGTTGCTCCGAAGCCCCCCATCCCCAAACACATGCACGCACGCACACACACAAATTGGAATAGATAGAGAACAACAAGGAAAGCTTGGGACCAGACAAGAAATGGTCAGTATGGACTCACACATACCTTACTAGCTAGGACACAAAGATTAATTACTCCTCACTAAGGTGTTAAAGATTTCTCTGCACACCCCTTCTAAAACTGTTCTGCACCTCAATTGTTGACATAAGCCTTGTTAGAGTTATAAGCCAGTTAAGACTATCCCAAAATCTGCCAAGTTCAGCAAAATTATACTTCAACACTATAAACTGCTGAATGCTAAAATGAAAATAGTCACAAGACAGCTGAACAGTAAACTATAGCCATTTTAAGGTGTATGGCAGCCAGTTCTGTGTATAAACCAAAATTGAAATGTCAATGAAGTAGTCAGAGGATGCGGTTTAGAACTTGCATTTTTTAACATATTGGTTACTCAATGCCATGTCAATTAATTTCATAATGTTGTAAATTGATGTTGATGTTATGTCGTGGCTTTTAATTGATCGGGATGACATTCTGCCAGCTCTGCTTTCAGACCAAAGATGGTCTCCCCAAGAAACCACTGTATCTGGAAAATAAGATGCTAGACTCTATGCCTGCAATGAAAGAATCTTAACTGAACCTGAACTGTAATACTACAACAAGGTGGAGGAATCCACCATGGGAAGAGGGTATGGGGAAAGGTTGGGGGAATCCCAGAGCCTATGAGACAGTGTCACATAATGCAATGTAATCAATAAAAAATAATATACCAAAAATAAAATGTAGCTAAAGCATCCTGGCCCACCAAGTACTCTCCAAGTCTTCAATTTTAAGTATCTTTCCATCTTTTCACTTCATTCTCTATTTTAATCAATGCTTTTTCTTAGATTCCCCACACTACATGGCTAACACTGCTTTTCCTTCCATGATCCAAAACATACACAGTAAAATGTTAACAAATGGAACTCCTTTACATCTCGTTGCTCTCAGTAAAATCCATCTTTTGCCAACGATGCCATGTGCTAGTAATCTCTCTCATGAAACATTATCCTTTGCAACTGGCTCTCAGCCCTTCAACAAAAAAGAGAATGGCCATACCCCAAACACACCACCAAACATGTCCATCATCCACCATCATTCTTATTCCTCTAGAAGTCCAGTTAAATCATCCTCTCCACTTTCTCATCATAATAATTTTTTACAGTCACAACACAGTTCCAACTTCCTCACTGAACACCTAGATCATGTTTTTCCCAACCTATACATTTTCACTATTCCCAGCATTTCAACAGATTTCTAAACCAACATTAAGAGTTGGCTTCAAAGAAAAAATACTAAGCTTTCTCTTCAGCATGTTAACTATGAAATAGTTCATATACTTGAGAAAACATTCAAAAAGATAACACGGGGAACCTGAATTTAAGAAAATAGCTAGGTAGGGCCCGGCGCGGTGGCACAAGTGGTTAAGTCCTCGCCTTGCACGCCCGGGATCCCATATCGGCGCCAGTTCTAATCCCAGCAGCCCTGCTTCCCTTCCAGCTCCCTGCCTGTGGCCCGGGAAGGCAGTCGAGGACGGCCCAAAGCTTTGGGACCCTGCACCCGCGTGGGAGACCCGGAAGAGGCTCCTGGCTTCGGATCGGCATAGTATCGGCCCGTTGCGCTCACTTGGAGAGTGAATCATCGGACGGAAGATCTTCCTCTCTGTCTCTCCTCTCTGTATATCCGCCTTTCCAATGAAAAATAATAAAAATAAATCTTAAAAAAAAAAAAAAAAAGAAAAGAAAATGGCTAGGTTCCAGCATGATAGCCTAGAGGTCAAATCCTCGCCTTACACGCACCAGGTTCTCATAAGGGTGCCAGTTTGTGTGTCCTGGGTGCCCCATTTCCCATCCAACTCCCTGCTTGTGACCTGAGAAGACAGTAGAAGAGAACACAAATCTTTGGGATCCTGCACCCACATGGAAAACCCAGAGGAAGCATCTGACTCCTAATTTCAGGTTGGCTCAGCTCTATTGGGTCTCATGGAAAGTGAAACAGCAAATGCAAGATTTTTCTTTCTCTCCATCTCTCTGTAAATTTGGCTTCCCACCCCCCCCAAAAAAAACGCTAAAAAAAGAGATGCTAATTTGATCATCATATATACAGACTCAGTTAATGAAATAATACATGACCTCAGTGGAAGGGATTTTAAAAAAGAAGAGGTTAATTACTTATTTTAACCAGCTACTATATTACAGCTCACCTTGAATAACTTGGTTTCTGTCATTTTGCTCCAAGCTAACAAGTATTACTGAAAAGATGTATGGAATCTTTCAAAGTAAGTTCATTACAAGTTCATCCTATTTTAATTTTTTACTGACTACTATTTCTTTTTTTAAAAAATAATTATTTTTATTGAAAAGCAGAGTTACAAAGAGGAGGAAAGACGGAGAGGAAGATCTTCCCTTTGATGGTTCACTCCCCAAGTGACCACAAAGGCCAGAGGTGAGCCAATCCGAAGCCAGGATCCAGGAGGTCTTCCAGGTCTCCCACACGGGTGCAAGGTCCCAAGGCTATGGGCCGTCCTCAACTGCTTTCCCAGGCCACAAGCAGGGAGCTGGATGGGAAGCAGGGCTGGCAGGATTAGAATCGGCGACCATATGGGATCCTGGACGTGCAAGGTGAGGATGTTAACCACTACACTATCATGCAGGCACCCCCCCCTTTTATTTTTAATGTTTTCCAACCTGTGAGCTTCAGACTCCTAAGAGGAAGAAGAATTAGTTATTACACAGACACCCAGCAGCATACATTGCAGAAAATTTCTCACATACATGTATTACCGTGTTTCAAATGTGCTGTCAATGTTTTAGTCACAACAGAAAGTCACATAGTAGAGTACTGAGCGGTAGTTTTTCATTAATACACATTTTTTCAATTAACAAATACAAAAAAAAAAATGTAACTATGATCTTAAGTGGCAATTTTACTAAGTACTGGGTGGTTTTTTAAAAACTACTTATTTATTTGAGCGCCAGAGAGATGACAGCAAGGGAAATTTCCAGCTGCTGGTTCACTTCCCAAATGTCATTTCCCAGAGCCAGAGCATGTGGGAGGCAGGAAACCAATTACTAGAGCCAACACCTCTGCCTGCCAAGGTCTGCATCAGCAAGTAGCTGGAGCCAGGAGCCACAGTGAGGGCTAAAACTCAAGCACATCGATGTGGGACACAGGCACCTGAAACGTCTACTCTAAAAAATTATTCTAAAGTTAAGGAGGCTGTCACCTTGAAAGCATCAGGATCCACTGCAGGCATTCATCTGCTACACCACTGCTCTGGAACTATGACAAAATATGCTGAACCATATTGGGGCAGTGGTGTATATGTACATATATATATTTATAAATATGTTAGTTGTTATAATATATAAGTATATGTTATAAATATATATAACATAACATCACACCTGATCCCTTCCCTACCTCAATCCATTAATTAGGCACTTCAATAGTTTCTTCCCTTCTACCAGATCAGAGCTTCTCTATTCAGACAAAAATTGATTCTGCTCTTTGCCCTAAATACTACTGCTCTGTTTTCTTTCTTTTGCTGTCAAATAACTCAGAATCATTCAACTACAGCCTGAACTAGCACAAGGTTTTACCAGAACAGGTATACTCCTTTCTTTTGCTGCTTTCCCACAAAGGCAGAGTTGAATAGTTAAGAGATCCTATGGTCCTGAAAGCATAAAATGCTTCTTATCTGGCTCCTTTAAGAAACAGTTCACCTGAGCAGAGTGTGTCCTCGCAGTTAAGATGCCCATATCTCACATCAGGTGCCTGGGTTCAATTACAGACTTTGCATCCAGACTCCAGTCAACACAGACAGCTGGAAGCAGCAGTGATGGCTCAAGTAACTAGCTTCCTGTCTCTGGCATCACATACCTGGCTAGTATTCAGGCTCCGGGCTTCAGCCCAGCCCTGCCCAAGCCACCACATTTGGAGTGAGCCAGTGGATGGGAATGTTCTCTCTCCCTGCCTCTCAAATAAATTTAAAAAGAGGAAAAAAAGTTGATCTCTGGGGATCCAGGCATGATCTACAATTTATAATCAGTATCACTATTTCCTGAGGACGACAGGGTACTGCTGAAGGCTGTGGAATAGCAGTAAAGTAACACGAATAAAAACGCGTTTCAAGGCTACTGGTTTAACAACAGTGTGCAGGGCAGAGAGAAAAGAAGACCATTTAGAAAACTACCATAAGACATTAAGCATCGGGCAAAAAGGGAGGGAAATAAAAACAAAGAAACTTTTTTAATAATTAACCATTAAGGCATGACTAGAGACAATACAGATTAGCATCAAAATTTAAATATTCAACTATGTAGCCTGCAGAATTTGCATTCCCTCCTACAATCTGCCCCAGACTTACAGCTCTTCACATTTACCTGTCTTATGCCTTCAGAGTACCTAAAATTAGAGCTAATTTCACATTTTCTATGTACCAAACATTCCCGATCCCTGCTACCTGGCTAACTTCTGAATAAGCAAATCACTCCTAAAAACAGGCAATTCCTAAGAGTTGGCCAAATAAAAGCACAGGGGCAACATTCAAAGTAGGTAGAGTACTCACCTGTGGTATCACAGGACAGAAGCAGCAACTAGGACTTCAGGTGGAGAACTGGCTCTAGCCAAACAGCTTGAAAGCAGCTATGAATCTGCTTCCAGAAGCAACAGAGTGACTTTGGTATGTCTGAATGATCACAAATACCACCAATAGCAGACCCACAGCTAAGACAGTCTTACGAGAGAAGCAAGCCAAAACACAAGACCAAGGGGTGAGGAATTACAGAGAGCATGCAGCAGACCCTTCTGGTTTTTCACATAGAAAAAGCAAACTTCCCTCGTTATTAAACATGATACTACTGTTAAAAATTGCTAGTATGATACTAACCTTCAGTAACGGAGTTTTCACATCCCACAAGGTTGAGAAGAATACCATCATCTTTGTCATCCGCTTCACATCCTAGCAGCATCCAGCTTTCCACATTATCACTTTCAGAAATGAGGCTCTCTTCCTCTTCACTTGAACTCACTTCTATCACCATGACCTCTTGGATCCCATCTGACCCCTCTTCAGGGTTTGGCGCCTGGGTATTCCGCCTGCATTTCTTGCCAGCCAATTCACGAGCCGGAAGAGAACCACAGGTCTTTTCTTGTGCTTGGCCTCTAACATTCTTTCTTTTACATCTATATATACTGTCTTCATCAGACAAAGTAATGACCTCTGACCCATCTGATAGCTGAATGACTTCACTATCAGAAAGGACAATTAAATCCTTCTGATCTGGTTGGTTACTCAGTGATTCAGAATTCCCAGAGTCCTTTTCTTTCTGTACTTCCTCCGTGTCGGCATTACCAAGGCCTTGGGCATAGTGAACCTGACTATACAGCTGAAATTCCACCTCACTGTCAACACTCAGCTCACTGGATGACTCTTCACGATAAAGTTCATCTTCGTAGGCTTCTATTGATTCATAGCCACCAAACATTCTGGAAAGTAGTAATGCTGACGCTGTAAAAGATAAAGTCAGACCAACAATGTATTTTAAAGCTCAAATCAGAGCTGTTTAGCACAAAGCATCACCTCTTACAACCAATTTCTTGGTGGAAGTCATCACTACCCCCTCAAATACAAAACTTATTTGTATTTGAAAGACACATTTTTGCAAAAAGAGAGACAGAAAAAGATATTTCATCCACTGGTTCACTCCTCACACACTCCCAACAGCAAGAGCTGAACCTATCCAAACCTGGAAGCCAGGAAGGACCTTCTTGGCATCCCAAATGGGTGCAGGGGCCCAAGGCTGTGGACTATCCTCCGCTGCTTTCCCAGGTCATCAGAAGGAAGGTGGATTGGAAGTGGAGCAGCCAGGACATGAAGCAGCACTCATTCGGGACTGTGGCACTGACAGGCAGATTAGCCTGTGAGCCACAGCAGTCCCAAAAGTCATCGCTTTTTCAGATGTAACAAAATATCTTTTCCTTGCAGGCATTTGGCCTACCGGTTAAGACAGTGGTTAGCACACGCGTGTCCCACAACGAAGTACCTGGGTTATACTCATGACTCTAAATCTTGACTATAGCTTCCCAATAATACAGACACTGGGAGGCAAGTGATGGTTCAAGCAATGATCTCACATCCGCATGTGAGATGTACATCAAGTTCCCAGTTATGCTATACCTCGACCCCTGTAGGCATTTGAGGGAACGAAACTGGGATGGGAACTTACTCTGCCAAATTCTCTCCCTTTCAAATGAATAAATACATTTTTTAAAATGCCTTCCTCTTACCTTTTTTTATGTCCTACTAAAAACATACCGATCCTTCTCAAATGAGAATTACCACCAATAACTTGAGTTCAGTTATTAATGGAAACATATTTCATAGACATATTGGAAAGAAAAAACAAGTTGAGATCCACTACTAAATATCAAACAACTGTTCTCCAAAATATTAAACACTACAAAACAATTTTAGGTAGCTCTGACTATTCTTGACATTCACCTTTTCATTCCTTTTCGTTCTGCATTTCTTGTTTTCAGGTACATACTGTCATAAAAAATTACTTTAGTAATGACTTAAATTCACAAAAGGTAATGTTTATTTATTAGATGTAGATGAAGACCCCTGAACCTTGCCAAAAAAAAAAAAAAAACATAAAAACATTACAGACCAGCATCTAGGCTTAGTAGCCTAAGCCTCTACCTACAGTTCTAGCATACCATGGAGTTCTAGCTGCTCCATTTTCAATTCAGTTCATGGCCTGGGAAAGCAGCAGAGGGTCAACGGAGTCCTTGGGTCCCTACATCCATGTGAGAGACCCAAAAGTAAAGTAACTGGTGTTTAGAAAGACTTCTGTAACAGTTTATTGACTGCCTGCTCAATCTGATTAAGTCATATCACCAGGCATTTATTTTTTTGGTCCTGACAAACCAGTGTATACTATGCACCTAACATACTATGCACCTAACATAAAGGACTTAGGATGAGTTTCTCATTTGTCTTCAACTGTTCAAAAGTCTTCAGTCTCCTATTGGTAGCCAAAAATCTACATGGGACAGCCTGCTTATTGTTTATTGCTGCTTCTGCTTATTCTTTAATCAGGGACAGCCCTACCTACTCTTTAGTGTACTTCAAGCTATACAGATCTAATTAAATTTGTTTGCTCTTTTTGTTTGAGAGGCAGAGTGAGCTCCCATTGCCAGTTCACTCCCCAGACACCTACAAAGGATAGGAAATCAATCCACATTTCCTAAGTGGGTGGAAACTAAGTACAGAAGCCATCGATGATAACCCTCAAGGTCTACAAAGCTGGAGTGAGGAGCCAGAACCAGAAACTTTCTGCCAATACAGGATACAGGCACTGCAACCAGCATCCCAACCACCAGCCTAAATGCTTCCTGTCATAGTCATTTTCTTAGCTTCCAAATTTTCTGACAAAATGCTGAGAGGTTATAATAGTAGTTTTCTTAATACAGATGATCCCAAGAGTCAAATCAACATGGGCCAAAAAGGTGCAACATCCATGCTGGGCTCTGTTTTCCAAAAAATAAACCAATTTTCAATGAATTTTTTTCCCTACAAAATACAATGTGTCTGTTCTCTTGTTGCACTGTCCTTCAGCTTGCTGTTATTGTCATACAGGTTGAATGTGGCTGTCTGAATAATAACGCTCATAGCATTTATCAGTTTATATTGAAATGTTAGCCTCAGAGAAAGTCAAATAAAAGATGAATCCTTTCCATTTTATTTAATAGGTAAATTAATTCTAAAAGAAGTCAGAATTATGCTTGCTTCAAAATCCTCACTGGATCCATCCTGAGGATCCAGTGTGGACATAAGATAAAACATAATTCCAGTGCAGCACAGAAAAAAAAATTAAAGAGCTAAATTACAGTTACAAATTTGTACTGCTCTTGGAACCATCCCAAAGGAAAAGGATTAAGAATAGAGCCATAGGCACACCTGTGAAAGTATGCCAAAAATAAACTACAGAACCGTAATAAAAACTGACTTCCTTGGGTCTAAGGATTTATCATGTTCCCTGAAATGTAGAAAAATGAATTTAACAATTTAGCCCCTATGGCTTTTAAGAGGATTTTGTATCTTCTGTACTTGAAGACTGTGCTCAGCCTAACCTATTATGTAGTTTATGTGTGCCAGGGTTAAAGTTTGCCTGAAGCTGTTTTGGTTTATGCTACTACTTTAATTATATTCAAATGGATTTAATTTACTTTTTTTTTTACAAGTGTATACTCAGAGGACAAAGACAAAATTACAAAAATTGTGTGTATATATATATATATATATAAACACAATACATACATACACACCTTAACCAAGGTTTTCTCAGTTTTAATCATTGTAAAACAATTCCCATGCATGCTTAACTACACAACAGAGGGTCCCTACCACAACACAAAGCCCTGATTGTAGAAAGGATCTAGTAGAGAGAAACTGACTGTACAGACAAGGAAGCCTACCAGGGGCCTGCAGCTAGCTGCTTCAAGCACATAGCTAACACTTAGGGCCTGTCTTCCTCATTCCCAGCCCAGTGTTAAGATCGTAAAGAATAATAATAATGATAATAATATTTCCAAAACCATTTCCTATAGAAGCTCTAAGACTTCCTTCACTGCTGTGTTCTAGCATGTAAACCCACCTCACATACATTTTACTTCCCAGTCAACTATTAAAACTATCAAAGTATTTCAGCTGGAAGGGAAAGCATACTTTCAGTTTACCAAGAACTTTCCCAAAATGGTGCCCAAAAGACTTCATCAATGCAATGACCAGAAAAAGTGGAGTGCTGAAAATATCAGGGCAGTGGGAGCTCTCAAAGAAATTACTGGCTGAGCAAGTATACACAGCTACCCACAAGAACTACAAAGGTGTTCACCATCCTAAAGAGGGAGCAGCTCTCAACCAAAGAATTTTCGTTCAAACTGGGAAACTTCAGGCTCATTGACAAAGCTTTCAGGATTTACTTTCATGATATTCAAGGGCAATCTTGCTCCAACAGTCTATCTACAGGTCATTTCACACGTCATGCTATTTGCTCTCAAAGCACTTTTAGCCTGGATGTTCTTTCTTGATGACTTCGCATTCATCTCAGGCAAATTTAAACGCAGGCTACAGCTTGACTTTAAGTGCTGTTTTCACTGGAAAGTTGATGAACACAGTTTGGTTTCACTTACAAAAAAAAAAAAACAAAACACTTGACTAGGTGAAAAACAATTAACCAGAGTTAAAAATCTGATTTTCAAATGTGAATGTCACTTTGAACCAAAGCGGACTAGGGTAAAGATCCAAACGTTAAATAACTGTTAGAGGAAAGACAGAACACAGCATCTAGGTAGAAGGAAAATCACACTAAATTTATTCAGGTAAACACCCGCTATCACCGGGATACAAAAGGCTTCTAGTAAGAACAAACCGGATCTGGAAGGACTTCCGACACCTCTCCCTCGCCCAGTGTCCCTTTTGTCATGCAGCCTATTACCATCCAAGTCCCACCTGGCAATTCTAGTACCCTCCACATCCCCCCACCTTCGGATGTTCTGCACTGAGTTTCCCTTCTACCGTTGTGGGTCATCGCCCACATCTTCAAAACCCCAAAGCCAAGAGCTTGCCCAGAGGTCTGGAAGTTAGCCAAATGAACGCTCCCACTTGATGATCAGGGAGCTAGCGAAGGTTCTGCGCTTCCAGCCGAGCAGGGCTGTCAGGAGTCCCCAGCGAGTCACGCTTCACGGCGCCCGGGACCCCCACCTCCACCCGGCACCCCAGTCCCCAGGGCCGCGGACTCCCAGCCACAGGATCCCCACTGTCGCCGGCGGCTGCAGCTCAAAGCTGGGAGTCCAGGCGGCCAGGAGCCGGGTAGTCCTGGCAGACAGACCCACGAGGAACGAGGCACAGTTCCCGAAACTTTTTTTTTTCCGCGTCCCCAAGCCGCAGTTTCCGACAGCAGAGGCCGGACTTGGCCCGGGACTGTCCGTTCTTCCCAGGACCCGCCGCCGAGGAGCCAACGAACCGAGCGGCTTCTCCGCGAAGTCTGAGGGGCACAGGTCGAAGAGGCAGAGATGCCGCCGTCGCCGGATTCCAGGGCGCCCCGACCCACCCTCCACCCTCCACCCTCCCCTCCCGGAGCCCCCTCCGACGCCGCGGCCTCGGGCCTGGGAGGGACGGGGCAGCCGCGGACACCTCAGCCGCGCGGGGCCGAGAGGAGGACGCGGCGGCCGGCGAGGGGCACGCGCCGGTTCCTCAGCCCAGCGGCTGAGGCGGAGCCCGGGTGGCGGCGCCCGTGGCGGCGGCGGGGAAGCAAGGGGTCCCCGGGCGGCGGGCAGCTCGGGGTCCGTCACACGCACATACTCACTGCCGCGCTGCGACCAGGAAGCACCAACCAGGAACCACGACGCGGAGACGGACGGGGAGGGGCGAGCACGAATGAGGTAGGGCGGCGGAGGCCGCGCGGACTCGGAAGGAGGGGAGGCACTTCCGGGGAAAACAGGCTCTTAGGGGTCGTCTTTCCGTCCCCGCCCACCCCAGCACTGAGTGTGCGCAGGCGCAGCAGTTGTTAACCTTTTCTCTTCCTCACCCATCGCTTTTTAACTATCTTTCCTCGCCTAGTTCCCGCCTCTTCAGG